CGGTTCGAGGGCCCCCTTTGTCCCCGGTTCCCCGCGGCGTGTCCCAGGGCAGGCTGGAGAGCGAGGCCGTGCGTGGGTCCTCGGGCCGGGCGGGGGCCGGGCGCGGGCGCACGAGGTGGTGTCGCGCCCAGGTCTGTGCGGGGACCCGTCGGGCAGGGGTCCGCCCAGCGTGGCCGGACGTGCGACCCCCGACGTGCGCGTGGACGGCGGGTGCCTGATGGGCTCCTCGCCCCCAGGTCTGCGCCGCGCCCACCAGCGTTGCCCAGGGAAGAGGCCTGTCTACCCAGCTATCGTCACAGCGCTCGGCCCTGAGCAGGCCCATCCTCAGGGAGGGGTTGATGGAACGCTCCCTGGAGACCGGGGAGGAGGACCCGGACTCCCGGGGCCATGCCACCGACTGGAGATTCGCAGTGTGTAGTTTCACGGAGGCCTGGGATGAAGAGGTGCCCACCCCCTGCAGGGAGGCTAAGGACCCCAGCACCCCAAGTCCACCCTCAGGGCAAGCTCAGGGGGAAGGGCTACCAGGCAGCCCTCTGTCTGGGGCCCTTCAGTCACTCCCAGAACTGGTGGCTGCACATGGGACCGGGGATGGCCCGCATGGTGCAAGAGGACAGCGGGAGGAGCCAGCCCTGTCAGGGATGGAGAGGCCTGCTGGCCCCATGTCCTCCCACCTCAGTCCAGGAGAGGGTGGGAGTGTCACCCAAGGGGCAGACTTGGCAAGGGACCCAGCTGCAGATAAGATAGTGGCAGCCAGCTTGGGCCCTGAGGACTTGGACAGAGACCCTGTGGACCCTTTGCCAGAGACGCCATTGGAGCTGCAGGAGACAGGTGAGCCAGGCTGGAGCACGCAGAGACGGCCAGGAAGCGACTCCGGCTGCTGGAAGGGGTTGATGCAACATGGGGTGGCTCTCCCCCTGTTCATGGGAGCCCTGGTGATGCTGTTGGGTAAGGGTTGGGCTGCTAACAACAAGGTCAGCAATTCAGACTCACCAGGCACTCCACAGGAGAAAGCGGAGGCTGTCTGCTCCCATAAAGATTTACTGCCTCAGAAGCCCTGGATGGGATCAGAATTTGAGTCGAATTGATGGCCCTGGTGGGTGGACCGACTCTACTGACCCTAGGGCAGGGCCTTTGGGAAGATGGCCCAATGCTGACCCACCTGTTTCCTTCTCCAAGATCCCACCGGACCCAGTTCCCCCAAGCCTACTACTGACTACCTCCTGGCCCAAGACCTGGATTTTGAGCTATTGGCCAGTGCTATGGCCACCCTGCCAGGTAGTGGAGAAGGGACCAGGAGAGGTGGGGCCAGGCCGACTCCACTGGGTGGGTGGGTGGGTGTTCACAGCCTCCTCCCCACAGGAACTCGGGATGCAGAAGGCCGGGCGGTGCTGCTTCTGTGTGCCCACAGCCTAGCCTGGCTTCACCCCAAGAGCAGCAGTCATGAGCTCGTCCGCCTCCTGCTCTACCTGCGGAACATCCCCAGGTTGAGGGAACGGGCCAGGGGATGCCACGGGGAGGGCGCAGGGCCCTGGGGACCCATCCTGAATGAAGCCTGCCCCTTAGGCCCGAAGTCCAGACCCTGGGGCTGACCGTGCTGGTGGATGCCCGCTGTTGCGCTCCAACCACTTCCCTTTTCTGGGGGCTTAGCCAGCTGCAGGTGAGGACAGGATGGTGGCCGCCCTGCTTGGCCAGAGTCCTTCCATAGTGCCAGCCAGCCTGAGCCCAGATTCCTTGCAGGAAGCTGCACCAGGGTCCGTGCACCAGGTGCTGCTGGTGGGAAAGATGCCGGAGGAGGTGCCCTCTGGGCTGCAGGTACCGCCAGAAGTGGGCCAAAGGGGTGTGTGGCATTCCTGGGTGACCACCTGGCTGAGGTCACATCACTGCCTTCTCCTGCAGCTGGAGCAGGTCCCCTCTGATCAGAGCTTGCTGACACGTGTCCCCGCCCTGGGGCTTCCCTCTCCGCTGGGTGGAGACCTGCATTACTGCCACCAGACCTGGCTAGACTTCCGGATGGTCAGTGTGCTGGGTGGGCCAGGGGTGGGGTAGCAGGCAAGCTGGGCCTGCAGAGGGGCTGTCCTGGGCTGGGCTGAGCAGGGCAGAGCTGGCTACAGTGGCCTGGTGCCGCCTGGTCAGTCCTCTCCCTGCTCACAGCACCTAGAAGCCCTGCTGCAGAACTGCCGGGCGGCTTGTGACCTGCTGCAGGGGGCTGTCGAAAGCATGAAGGCGGAACCCCAGCCCCAGGAGTGTGGGGTGAGTGTCTCCTCCCCCCCCACCCCTCTGAGTGCCCCCTGCCTCTCTCCTGCTCCGCCATGGCCATCTCCCCTGCCTGTTGTCCTCAGGATGTGAACCAGCTGCTGCGGCAGGCACGCCTCCTGATGCAGCAGGTGCTGGACTCACCACGGCTGGCGTGGCTCCAGTGCCAGGGGGGATTGGAGCTGGCCTGGCTGAAGCAGGAGGCCTCAGAGGTGGTCTTGAGCCCTGACTACAGGTGGGTGCTAATCCAGCCTTCAGACCTTGCCCCTGCCCAGCCCACAGCGTCCCTGGCTAAGGCGTCAGCACCAGGCCTGGGGGCCTCTGGGTGGGCTGGAGCAAGGGCTCTGAGCCTGTGTGCCCTGCACCAGGCCGGCCGTGGACGAAGCGGAGGTGCTGTATGGCCGAGTGGACGAACTGCTGCACCAGCTGACCCAGCAGAGCAACCGGCGAGTCCAGGCTCTGGAGTTGGTTCAGACGCTGGAGACCCAGGAGGATGACCTCCGCCAGGTGAGTCGCCCTCGCCAGGCCAGGCCCTGCCCCGGATTTCAGGCCTGCTCCCACCTGGGCGTCCCACTGTCCCCGGCTTTTGCTCCTCCAGGTTGAGGAGTGGCTGCAGCAGGTGGGCTGGCCAGCCCTGGAGGAGCCGGCCTCGGCGTCGCTGGACCTGCTGCTCCAGGCCCTCGGCCCTTTCCAGATGCTGGACCAGGCTGCCCAGGTAAATGGGCACTTGTAGTCTCCACAGGGGTTGGGGCATGGGGCTGGGACCGGTCAGGCAGAGGGGTGAAAGCAGAACCCCACCCCCTGCTGTGCACACTCTTGAGAACTGGCAGTCCAGTGGAGGAGGTCAGCTGGAATCAAGGGTCCACATCACACGTGTGTGTTTGTCAGTGGAGGCCAGCGCCTCGGCAGGCAGCTCCACTGGAGGCTCTGCTAGAACGTCACCCGACCCAAGGGGGCACCGGGCAGGCGGTCTGGGGAAAACACTTTAGAACAAAGTTAGTTGTGTTTCTGGTCCACACTTTAGGCTGCCACCTTCACACTTCAGGAACATGCTCACGTACTTGTGAGCCGAGAACTGGAGGAGAGATTGGGGTCAACCAGGGCAAAGTAGGATGGGGATGGGAAACTTTCTAGGCTGAGGAGGGGCAGGTGCGAAGGTCCTGTGGCAGGAGGCAGTGTGGTGTGCCCAAGGAGACACGAGGTGGCCAGGGAAGAGGCGATTCAGAGCAGGGGAAGGCCTGACAGGTGTACTGAGACTGGAGACATGGCCCGGGGCCGGATCCCTGGCCCTGCCAAGGGCTCTCAGATCCTGAGAACCGGGGAAAGGTTTCAGGGAGAAAGCCCTGGGATCACAGCCGAGGGCCGGCACGAGTGCCCTCCTTGCTGGGCCGATGATGACTTGGAGGATGGATGTAGCGAGTCCCGGCACAGATGATGCTGGCTCTGGCCATGGATGTGATTGGGTGGTGGTACCCATGGGCGGAAGAGGGAAGGAAAAGGGAGTTCAGATGAATGAATGGTGCTGTTCTCTGATGAGTGGGGCCCGGAGAGAAGGCGTGTGTGTGTGTGTGTGTGTGTGTGTGTGTGTGTGTGCGCGCGCCTCTGTGTATGTAGCGGGGTTGTCTTTAAGATGACTGAGGAAATGTAAGGGATGGTGGGGGCTGGGGGCTTGTGGAGATCCAGGGAGAGGTGGGGCAGGGGCCCATCAGTGCAAGGAGGGGGCCTGTGGCCCCACAAGACCACCTGGGGGTGGGGTGTCAGGCGAACCCCCAGAGGAGGAGCAGGAAAGTCAGGAGAGCAGGTCAATGTCAGGAGCCCAGAGAGAGGACTGGGAACCGAGGGGAGCTGGGACGGAGCAGCAGTAGCTGCTGGGGGCGGGCAGTGGTGCTAGGACAGGCCTTTCTGTCGGGCTGCGAGGAGGGGCGGAGGGGAGAGTCGGATGGGGGGAGGGGGAGAGTCGGATGGGGCGGAGGGGAGAGTCGGATGGGGCGAAGGCTTCGGGCCAGAGACTTGACTGTGTTAGAATCCGTGTCAGTGAACAAGCCCGGGCCTGGGGGCTGGCTGGCTGAGCCCAGTCTTTGCCCCCAGGAGCAGATCAGGCGTGGGGAGAAGGCTCTGCAGCCACTGGCTGGCTGGCAGGAGGCTGACCTGGGTACCCTTGGGGCCCGCTTCCTGGCTCTGCAAGGCCAATTGACCGCATTCTCCAAGGCTTTGACCCAGCGGCGCCAGCGACTGGCAGATGCCGAGAAGCTAGTGCTTTTATTCAAGCAGGTGAGTGCGGGCCCATGTCCCTGCCCTGGGCTGTAGGAGGCCAGAGGGCCTCCACATTCGCTATCCTTGGGTGTCTGTCCTGTCCCAGGGGCTGTGGCCGGGCTGGTAGCCCGCAAGGTGAGCCGTGGCCCCGCCCTCAGCCCCTGCCCTTGGTGCTGCAGGCCTCGACGTGGGCCGAGGAGGGCCAGCGCGTGCTGGCAGAGCTGGAGCTGGAGCCCCCGGGGGTCGTGCTGCAACAGCTGCAGCTGCACTGGACCAGGCACCCTGACCTGCCTCCTGCCCACTTCCGCAAGATGTGGGCCCTGGCCACGGGGCTGGGCTCGGAGAGCATCCGCCAGGAGTGCCGCTGGGCCTGGGCGCGTTGCCAGGACACCTGGTTGGCGCTGGACCAGAAGCTCGAGGCTGCTCTGAAGAAGCCCCCAGCAGGCAGCAGAAGCAGCCTGTGTGCCAGCAGGGAGCTTGCGGCCCCTGCCCCCCCTCCCCTGAGGAAGGCCTACAGCTTTGATCGAAATCTGGGCCTGGGCCTCAGGGAGCCTGCCCACCACTGCCTCCATGCCACCACTGCAGCGGCTTGCCACAGACCAGAGGCTGGAGGTGGCGTCCCGCCTGGGGTGACCCCCACTGAGCCTCTGCCAGGCAGCACTGATGCCAGGAGCCCCAGCAGGTGCAGGCAGTGGGCAGGGCAGGGAGGGCAGTGGCCCGTGGGGGCGCCCTGAGCCCTAACTCCTCCTACCTGGCAGGCTACAGCTGGTACTGGCAGAGCTGGTGGCCACAGAGCGAGAGTACGTCCGCGCCCTTGACTACACTCTGGAGAACTACTCCCCGGAGCTGGACCGGCCCGACGTGCCCCAGGGCCTCCGTGGCCAGCGAGCCCACCTCTTTGGCAACTTGGAGAAGCTACGGGACTTCCACTGCCATTTCTTCCTGCGGGAGCTGGAGGCCTGTACCCGGCACCCACCCCGAGTGGCCTACGCCTTCCTGCGCCATGTAAGCCCCTCAGGTCTCGAGGTCCACTGTGCTCCCTCAGTGATGAGCGGTAGGCCCAGGCACGGTGCTGGGCTGGGGCCCAGCTGCGGATGAGACAGGCAAGGCCCCCGCCCTCGGCGTGCCGAAGCAGGAGGGGCATAGAAATGACAGAGGTCCTTCCCAGACTGGTAGCCAGGGCCGGGAGGGCGGGAGGGGCATCTGCAGGAGCTGACGGCAAGGGGCGGGCAGAGCAGTGCCCCCACTTCGGGGAGCAGTTCGAGAAGGCGTTTATTTGTGAGGAGGCCGTTTGAGCCGAAGAATGGGAGTGTTCTATCAGATCAGAAAGGAGGCACGGGGTGGCAGGACCGAGGCGGGGAGAGCCAGCCCTTGCTGAGTGGGCAGAGCAGGGACGACCTGGCTGAGCAACCTGCAGTCAGAAAGTCCCCTCAGAGCCGTGAAGGGGCAGCCCAGGCCGAGCCCCGAGAGACCTGCTGGCACAGGCCCTCTGGTCAGACCCGCCCCTACTTTGAAGCAGTACCGATGGGGCCTGGGGGTCTCCCCTGGGAGGTGTTTTGGTGGGCTCCAGCTGGGAGCAGGCCCCTCCCTTCCCTATCTGTCTCCCTAGAGGGTGCAGTTCGGGATGTACGCACTTTACAGCAAGAATAAGCCTTGCTCTGACGCCCTGATGACCAGCTACGGCCATGCTTTCTTCAAGGTAGGCAGGCCAGGCCCGAGGGAGCGGGGCATGGGCGCAGCGGTGGGGGTGGGCGCTGAGGCCTCCGACGGCTCCCCCGCTCCCGCAGGATAAGCAACAAGCGCTGGGGGACCGCCTGGACCTGGCCTCATACCTGCTGAAGCCCATCCAGCGCATGGGCAAGTACGCCCTGCTGCTGCAGGAGCTGGCTCGGGCCTGCGGGGGGCCGGTGCCTGAGCTCGGGGCCCTGCGGGCTGCCCAGAGCCTCGTGCGCTTCCAGCTGCGGCATGGCAATGACCTGCTGGCCATGGATGCCCTTCAGGGCTGCGACGTGAGTACTCAGACTGCACCCAGTCGGGTGCGGGGGCTTGGGGGGGGCGGGCTGACCCTTCCAGGGCTGGGACCTGGGACGTGAGTTGTCGGGCGGGGACGGGGGCGGGGATGTTGTGGGAGGCGGGCCGACCCCCATGGGCTCCGCCTAGGTGAACCTCAAGGAGCAGGGGCAGCTGGTGCGGCAGGACGAGTTCACGGTGCGCGCCGGGCGCCACCGGTCCCTGCGCCGCGTCTTCCTCTTCGAGGAGCTGCTGCTTTTCAGCAAGCCGCGCCGCGGGCCCACGGGCACCGACACGTTCACCTACAAGCGCTCCTTCAAGGTGAGCCCCTAACCTGGCCCTGGCCCTGCCCCTCCGAGCCTTTTCAAGCTCCATGCTCCCCACCCCCACCAGATGGCGGACCTCGGCCTGACTGAGAGCTGTGGGGACGGCAACCTGCGCTTTGAGATCTGGTTCCGCCGGCGCAAGGCCAGGGACACCTTCGTCCTGCAGGCCACCAGCTCAGCCACCAAGGAGGCCTGGACCGCCGACATCTCCCGCCTGCTCTGGAGGCAGGCGGTCCACAACAAGGGTGGGTCCCAGCCGTCTGTCCATCCGCCCAGGGGCCTCAGAAGGCAGCAGCCGCCAGCAGGGGGCCACTGTCAGCCAGGCCCTGACTGTCCCATCTTTACCAGGGGAGGTGGGAGGAGGGAGGCAGGGCCAGGACACACTCAGGCAGGGGTCCTGGGGCAGTCTCCTTTGAGCAGGGGGCAGGAGGGGGCAGACAGCCCAGGGCAAGGCTGCGGCCCAGAGAGCCTGCCTCACGCCCACTGTCCACCCAGAGGTACGCATGGCCGAGATGGTGTCTATGGGTGTGGGGAACAAGCCCTTCTGGGACATCGCCCCCAGCAAGGAGGCTATCAGTGATCGCACCATCAACTATGTCCTCAAGTGCCGAGGTAGAGGGCAGCCTTGGGGGGGTGGATGGTGGGGGTGGGGGGCCGAGCAGGAGAGTTCTCCCAAGACCCGGTGGGCTGGGCACCAGCCTGTCCCAAGCAGACCTTCTCTCTGACCCAGATGTTCGCTCTCGGGCCTCCATTGCTGTGGCTCCACTTGATGATGGCAGCCCCTACCTGGGGAGTTCCGACCCCCTTCCTGGAGATCCTGCCTCCTCCTCTGTGCTGGGGCCCCTCAACCTGCACCTGTACAGAGACCCAGCTCTTCAGGGACTCCGCTGGCCACTGTATCCCCCCAACTTCCCCGAGGAAGCCGCCCTGGAGGCTGAAGCAGAGCTGGGCAGCCAGCCCTCTCTGAGTATGTCTGGGCTTGGGCAGGAGGGCACCGCCTGGGGCCTGCGCCTCCCGGCCAGCAGCCCACCCACCCACCTTCCCTAGCGCCCGAGGACTCGGAAGTCTCGTCTCAGTGCCCGTCAGCCAGCGGCTCCAGTGGTTCCGACAGCAGCTGTGTGTCCGGCCAGGCCCGTGAGTACCTCACCCACAGCTCCTCCCCTGCCCCGCCTGGGTCTCTGCTGCCCTCCCGCAGGTGGAGATGAGCTGGGGTCAGCACCCCCAGCTGCAGGCCCCAACTGCCCCCACAGGTGTGAGCCCAGGCTCGAAGACGGGGGCCCCAGAGGATGGCTTTCCGCGGCCCACATGAGCAGCCCTGCCGCCCACTCTTCCTGATGCCAGTGCCTTCTGGACAGACGTCCTGCAGGGCCTTTGCGAACCCAGTGCACCACCTTCCCTTTTAAAGATGTCTGGATGACACCCCCCACCCCCCACCCCCGTCCCTTGCCCCAGGCCCTCTTCTGGCGCCCTCTCAGGGCTTGAGCTGGGTTCCCCGCCTGGGTTGGCGGGGATCCCAGGCAAGCAGGCAGGCAGGCTCTTCGCAGCTGCCTCTCAGCCCACCCCAGTGGGTCCTGCCCCGACGCCCCCGCTTAGCCCCGTTTCTCCCAAGTCTGTTGGGTTATTTTGACTCAGTGCCCTTGGAATAACTTTCACTTGGAGTTGTTGTCAAAACAGGCCTCCCTCGTTGGTAGGTCTCTGGCGCCTGGGAGAGGGAGTCAGGCTGCACTTGTGGTTAACTCTTTTATTTGTTTACAATAAAAAGTAGGTTGATGTGCACCTTGGGGCGTTCACATGCTTTGTGGGCGGTTAAAAGGAAGGGCCCGTAGGGGGAGAGGGGGGCTGTCTGCAGGGCCGGCATCTAGCCCTCTTGTAGGTACTTGCTCAGGATGGAGTAGGAGACAGACCGAGACAGGCCCCTCTGGATGAGCAGGTCCACACAGCGGCCGTATTTCTGGGCAAAAGGCAGCGTGAGCTGGAAGGAAGACCTGTCTTAGGCCTGGCCACTGGCCACCTCACTTAGGGTAGACGGGTGATGTTCTCGGCATCCTGCCTTCCCCGAGGCCTGTGGTTCCAAGGCCCCCCTCCCCCAGCTACCTGTGCAGAGTGCATGAGGGCCCACCAGGTGAGTCTGCTGCCCCTGGTTTGGCAGTGGCGGCAGATGAGTGCAGCGAGGGCGGGAGGTTCTGGGGCTCCTGACTGCTAGGGTGCCACCATGCTCCCTCTCCACCTACCGTGCCAAACCACCACCCCTAACCCCAAACGTGGTTTAAGGGATCCAGAACAAGCCAAAGTGGCCATCCTTCTGTGCCCACCACCGGTCTGGGCAGCTCAGACAGGCAAGGGCTCAAGCGAGGCCATGGCTGAAACAGCGGCGTGGGTCTCCCTGGTGGGGAAGGTCAGAAGTCATTCCCCCCCTCCTTGTCTGCTCCCCCAAGAGCAGACCCAGTGTGAGGGATGAAGCACAGGATGGACTCGGCGGTGGGAAAAGACCTGGAATTGGGGCTGGAAGACTCTGACCCAACATGGACGGATCCCTCCTGCCTTCAGGACCCAGCCTGGCCTCCTACCAGGGTTCCTGGGTAGCCCTGAAGGGCTGGGGGCAGGCCCTTCAGGCTGCTGTGCGGGGGGTGGGGGGGTGGGGGTGGGCTGGGCCTCACCTCCACCCAGCTATACAGGCGCTCCTGGGTGTGCTGGTCATCCTTGAAGCCGGCGATGGCCAGCAGGTCCACCACGAACTGCTTCGGGCTCATGTGTAGGCTCTGCAGAAAGCCCGTAGTCAGGCAGGGCCAGGGCAGCTGCCCAGCAAACAGGAGCATGTAGCGCCTCACCTGGTCCTGCAGGAGCCCTTTGCTTGGAGGCAGGGACACCCCAAATCTGCCCCCAGGCTGGACTCACCCCAGGTGGAGCTGCCCTGCCTTCCTGCCACCCTTCTGCTCCGCCCTGGTTTTGCTGCGCTTCCTTGGGGCATGGTAGAGGGCAGAGCCCTGTGTCACATACCCACAGGCGGTTGGCCAGGGACACCACCTTGGCCGTGACAACTTTGGGGTCCTTTTGCCTGATGGAATCTAGGATGATGTCAGTCAGGAAGCGGTGACACTTCTGTGCATAAAACATCTCCTCCCAAGACAGAGAGAAACTCAAGAATGTCACATCTGTGGAGGGAGAGCGGGTGTGGCCACAGCTGCCCCTGGCTGGGGCCTCGGGGAGGGGCAGTTGGGAGGGGGACTCACCTCGGGGTTGGGGGCTGGCTGTGGGTGGCATGTTCCTGAGATGGTCTATCTGCGTGGTGAACACGATACTGTCCTCGAAGAACATGCAGGAGCCATCGCTGCCCACCACAGGGGGGTGGGTCACTTTGAGAATGACCCCCATGTTGTCCACCTCAGGCACCTTAGGCAGAGGCTGCTCATGAGCAGGGCTTTCTGGGAAAACACAACGTGGGAAGGGGTTTTTAAAGCCACCTCAGCTCAAGCAATGGGGCGTCTGATGACAGACCAGTCGTCAGCCACCCCACCCTTTAGCTTCTCCCAGTGACACCCTGGGCTAACGGGGCGGCGCCTGTCCACCCCCCCCACCCCCCCCCACCCCCCCGCACTTCACAGCGGCAGCTTGTGGACTTCAGCACTCCCTGGCTCTCCGAGGACCCGGGCTGCACAAGCACCTCTGGGACTGGCACCATTTCTGACAACGAGGGGCTTTCTGGGGATTCTGGCCCATGTCCACCGCTGGACAGAGCCTCAGGAGTCTCACAGCAGGTCCACAGCAGCCCTCTAGGCAGGACCCAAGCCACTAACAAGAAACATGACAGGCTACCATGGGAGGACGTGGCAGGGGCAGAGACAGCTCAGCAGGGCCATTTTCAGCACCTCTCTACCACCCTCCTCCCTTTCCCAGCTCAGTTCCAGAGATGCCCCTGTGTCCTGGGCTTCTCCCATGATGCCCCACACCTGACATTTCTCCTTCTTTTGTGCACCCCTCCCCCACCTCCTGCAGGCCCCCAATTGGAGACCAGTCCTTTCCCGGGCCTGCCCTTCCCTCCTTTCCTCCCGTTACAGCCCAGCCTGCTACACCTGGCGGGAACTCAGCGACGTCTACTCTAAAGGTTCCCGGTCCTGCGGCCCTTCTGCCTGCTTCACCTGGCCTGTTACTGTCCTGCTTGTAGGCGCCAGCTGATCCCCGTTACCTCTTGTGAAGCGTGGCCACCTCCTGGACCACAGAGAGCTCAGCTGTGTCTTCTCCCAGCCAACTCTCACCCCGGCTCCGTGCGCCCCCTGCCCAGGGACCAGTTTTCCCTTTGCTCCTCAGGGCACCTCGTGATTGTGTCAGCCCCCCAGCTGTGCCAGCACCTGTCTGCTGCCCATAGGGAACTGACATCCATGATCACTGTCGCCTTAGCCCAGGAGTGTGACTTCTCCATCCGTTTGAGGTGGGACTGAGGTCCAGGACAGGGCAGGACTCACCCCTCTCCTTGGGCCTCTGCTTGCCCCAGTCTTTCAGGGGGATAGCTCTTCTCGCGGGCAAGTATGACTTAAAGGCTGGCTCTGATCCCTTGTCTTTGGCCCCTGCCTGGGGACTGGGGTCTTTTTCCAAGGCTGGGGGTTGAGCTTTCCAGGTGGCTGAGGTGCTGGGCTGGGAAGCAGCCCCACTTCTGGTGGGGAGCTGCAGGGTGGCCTCCCCCTCTGAGTTGCTGCGGGGGACTGCCTGTGGCTGGAACTCCCACTGCTTGCAGTTGGCCATGTCCCACTCCCTCACCAGGGAGATGAGCTTCTGCATGGGTGTGACAGGGGGGTCTTTGGCTTCGGGTTTCTGCATGAGGGTCACTGTGGCACTCTTCTTCTTGGGGGGGCTCTCAGGGTGGCACCCCCAGTGTCTGGGATTGGCACACAGACCAGGGCAGTGTGCGTAGGTGCTGGGGTTGCCGGCCCTCTTGGCACCCCGGCACAGGACACCAGCCCCCTCCACCAGGCTGGATCGGGTCAGGGCCCCCTTGGCCTTGTTCCACGGGGCCCTGTCACCGCAGTCCTGGAACTCCACAGGCAAGCAGGCTGTCATCTGGGGAGAGAGGACACAGCAGCTCTGGGCAGGTGTGCCTCTCCCCGGCCATGGGGCAGCCTGTGAGATCTGCTCAGTCTGAGGAGCAGCGATGCCCAGTCCAGGGGCTTCACACACCCACAGTAGAGAACACAGCCTCAGCCCCTAAGGTCCAGAAACTAGTGACCCTACCAGGATGCCACGCCTCCCTCTCTGCCATTGAGCCAAGTCCCACTCATGGCGACCCTGCAAGGCAGGACGGAGCTGCCCTGGGGGTTTCCGGGGCCTCATCGTTCTCCCTCAAAGAGGCCCTGCTTTTCCATCTTTCCGTGGTGCTCAGTAGCTGGGGCTCCTGCCTGAGTCCTGATTTGCCGTCTCTGAGCACAAGGGCAAGCCCGAGAAGGCCAGCCTTACCTCTTTGGCTTCTCTGCTAAACTCCACCAGGGACCCAGGTCCTTCCGTCACCACATGCAGCCTCCTGATGGGGAAAGCCCCTGTATGCTCAGATTCCTTCTCCTGGGTCCAAGACCTACAGACCCCAGGAGTGGGGTTAGCAACCCGAAGCTGCTTCCATCAGCCCACTGGCCACTGTGTCAGGTCCACATTTGGGAAATAACTAGATGGGTGGGGGGCTATCTTGAAGGGTGTTGGTTAACTGATGGGTCAATCGTAGTGTCGGGTGGAGGGAGAGCTCCTTACTTGTACGCCTCACATTGGCCCAGGGCTTCTGAGAGGGCTGGGATCTGGTATTCCTCCACCTCCTGGCAGAAGAGGGGCCATTCCCTGCCAGTGACAAGGAGGTGCTGGCTGAGGGGAAGGCGGGTGGGGACATGAGCCCCTAGAGCAGCCTTTGTGAGCCACAACCGCCACCCGCCCTGCCCCCGCCCCTGAAGTCACACACCGAGGCCTTCTCTGGTGGCAGAGGGCTGGAGTCGGCTCCAGAGCCATGCTCCGAAGACCAGCGGGCCCCACTTACTTAAATTCAGACGGTAAGAAGAGTTTTCCCAGCCTCAGGAAGTTGAGGACGTGCCGGAACATCTGTCCGTCACCGTGGACCAGCAGGGTCTGGCCGTAGGCGATCCAGTACATCCTCTGCGAGTTGGACAGCAGTTCTGGATACTGGGGGTGGGGGGGCAACAGCAGACTCAGTTCGCCGGAAGGGCCGGCTCTCTAGTTCGGGGCAGGCCAGTCTTCCCTCACTGTGTTTTCAGGACCAGCCTAGGGCAGAGTAGCTATGGTTTCCACCTCCCTGCCCTCTCATCCCAGGGAGCCACAGCGGGGAGCAGATATCCGGGAGACACCCACTCACCTCCCCATCAGGTTCTGCTAATTCCCAGGTCACCCTCCTGAGGTGGAACCCACCCCGCCTCCTGCTGGGCCTAAGCCCCTCAGGGCTGAGCCCTCCCCGACCCAGACTTGGCAGGCCTGCCCAATGTGCGGCTCCTTCTCCTTCAGTTCATAGGGCACAAGCTCGCTGGGCAGTGGCGCTGGGGGGAGACCCTGGTTCTAAGCAGGTGGTGAATGGGGGGGGCAGGGGGAGCAGGGTTACGTGCCAAGCTGTCGTGGGGGCAGTCAGCAGGGCCAGCAGTACCTTCAGCAGGGTCTGCAGCGTGGTGGCATACCAGTGGCTCCCGACGTAAACCCTGATGATCTGCTGGGGCGAATGTACGGTGATGTCGGCTGTCCACTCCTCATCTGTGGAGGCCGGGGAGAGGAAACCTTTCACACGGTCGGTCGGCAGGGGAGAGCAGGCCGGCCATGCTGGTCGACAATACAGACCATCAAAACGCAGGGTCTTGGTCAGTCCTATTGTGCTGCCTACTCTGAGAAGCCAGCAGACATCCCCAGCACCAACCTCCCTAACTACTCACCGCCTGGTTTTCCAAGTTTGTTGTGAGATGGGGGATGAGGTGGGCTCAGCATAGCAGCTTTGGGGGTCGCTGGTGACTCAGGGTGGGGACCGGGGGTGGGGGGGTTAAAAGGCCTCTAGAATCTTAACTCCCACGATCGGTCACTGCCCTCCCTCACCCACCTCTCTCAGGAAAGGTGGCCGGAGCTGCCTGTTCACCTGCATTGCCAACTGCCTCATGCTCCTGGCTCCAGGTGCCCTACATGTGCAATGGTTCACATGGCTACTCAGGTGGAGCCAGGAGCCTTCTGGGTAGGTGTGATTCTGGTCTGAACCCCTCACATCTATAGAGAGCGACCCCCTCACGGGTCTGGGAAGCTGAGTGCAGCCCCTGCTCTCCGATGTCTGGGAGTCAGTCTCTAGGGAGCGGCTGTGTCAGGATGGCAGGCTCAAAGCTGGATTGCACAGCCACGTGACAAGAGGCGCAGGGTCTCATCGGGCTGTGGGCCCTGTGGGGAGAGGCGCCGGGCCTGTGCAGCTTGTTCCTGTGCCCCAGTGTCTGCCCCTGTCCGTGGATGGTGGGTGCTCAGTAAGTCAGGCCGAAGGTGCTGTTGGGTGGTCATAATCAGACAAGAGCTCGAACTTATCTAGATGGCTTTGTGGTGGTGGAGAAGAGGCCAGGGGCAGCTAGTGGACGTGAGTTGAGTTCATGGGCAACTGGGGAAGACAGCACTGATTTTGGACTCCAGTCCCAATCCAGCTTGATGGCTAAGGGCTATTTGAGCAAGTCGCCTACTGCCCCTACTGCTGCCTCTGTTAACTGGCCTTCGGGACCCGACCCTCAGCGGGTGGTTTGGAGGTCCACATGAGCATAGCAGGTCAGCTCCTGGGGCCAGAGCAACATGTGTTGGGGGGGCCTTTGTACCCCCACATTGGGTAGTGGCTGAGCAGGTTGAATGTGTCCTGCTTGAGAGTCCTTGTGGGCTTAAGGGGCAGACCCCACACATGCTGGTCTGGACCCCCCTGCGCTCCCCCAGACTTCCTGCTTCAGCGGTCCTCTCCACCCCCACCCCCTCCGCTGACACCACCTTCAAACCGAGAGCTTCCCCGACTACTGAGCACACCTGTGGGGGCCAAAGCCCTGGGTTCCAGGTGGGTCTTCAGAGCCACCTTCATGGGCTCGTAGGTGATGTCCCTCTTGTCCAGGAAGGCACAGAGCTCATACACCTCAGAAATGGTCTCCGTCAGGGGCAGCCGGCAAGTCCCCAGCCAGTTTCTGCCCAGAGGAAAGTCCTGTCACCAAGGCGCTCAGCCCCGTGCCCACCCTCTCACCCCCCCACCCGAGTCTCCAGTCTGGAAATGCAGCATATTGGGGATCTCTTGCCAAGACACTGGCTCAAACTTGGCACCCCTGGCACTGAGTCCTTCATCAAACTGGCAGTCATGTAAGGAGGGAGGTCTGGATCCAGGCTGACCCCTTTGGAACTGAACTTGACCTATTTCGGCAAAGTCGCTGGGTCCTGTCTGGGTTCCAGAAGTCAGTGCGAGGGACCGCCACCCCTTCCTGCCGATATCTGTGGGGCAGCCTGCTGTGGTCCCAGGAGATTGCTGACACTCTGGGTGCCCAGGAAAGAGCATGGGAGTCTGAAAACTAGCCCTGTCCTGGAGCCCTGTGGGCCAACAGTGGGGGGCACTCTGTGAGAGACAGGTGTGTCCAGGGGCATGCAGCCAGCAGGCTAGGTCACTGCAGGCTCTGAGCCGAACCCACCACAGGAAGGGGCCTCAGAGCCGGACCCCCACCAAGAATGGACCAACGCCCCCTCACAGGTCCGACGATGAATGTTCCCTAGTGGGAAGCAGGCTATGTTTACAGGGCTTTCCACTCCCCTAAAGAGTGACAGTCTTGGAAACCCACAGGGGCAGTTGGACCCTGTCCTATAGGGTCACTGTGAATTGGGGTCAGTTCGACGGCAGTGAGCTTGGTTTGGTTTTTTGGATAGAAGGGAATCGAGAAACACATGGAGCTTCTCACCCGACTCTCTCCCCAGACCGCGCGTTTACCCCATCCGGCTTTGCGACCCCATGGGAGCTGCTCCGCTCCTCAGTGGGCTCGTCTCCACCGTAGGGGGCGGGGGGAGACCTTGGGAGGGTGTGTTCCAGGCTCCTGCACTGATGGGGCATTCTTCCAGGAATCCTCCAGGAAGCCTGCCCTGGCTGTGGCCTCTGTCCATCCAGGGGGTGCCCCAGGGTGGGTATTGCAGGATCTGCATTCCCAACGAGGTTAGAGAGGGGCACTCAGCCCCGCGGGGTTGTAACCCAGTCTGGTCCGCTGAGACCCAGAGCCAGGGAAATAGAGCACAGAGAGGAGCAGACAGGCCGCCGTTCTTTGAACCCAGAGGGCCCTGCTGATTCCCAAGGGCACCAGCCCTCTCCTCTGAGGTGCTAACCCCACTGGGGGTGGGGGCTGCCCAGGGGAGTGGCCACAGCAGCGAGTTTACCCCAAGGATTCATGGCAAAGGCCTTACTTCACATGCTGGAAGAGGACCCCGTTGCCTGTGATGAACAGGTGGCTCCCGTCCAACGTGCTCTCCACGCGCAGCTGCCCCAGCGCCGAGTCCGGGTACTTGACCAGCAGACCGAGGGCCATCACGTAGAGGGGCTTCGCGGCCTGTGGGCCTGCTGCACGGCTGCCTTTCCCAGGGCTCGAGGGAGGGCAGGAGGCCCGGGAACAGCCACCTGTGCCAGGGAGACAGGGGTGAGTGTAGCTGCAGGGAGGCTTCCCACTGTGGCCTTGACCTAGCCTTCAAGGAGCACCAGCAAGCCTCTGCCACGGAGTTCATTCAGACGCATGCCAGCAGCAGCCGGCCTCCACTCTTTCAAACCCGAGCGGCTGCTGGGTTTGAACTGCCGGCCTTGCAGTTCTCAGGCCAACACCTCATGGCAGCAAGCTAATATTCCCTTTCACAGTGCAAACTGGAGTCTTTTAAAAATCAGTATGATGTTTGTGTGGAGGAAGACCTTCCTGAGGGAGGTGAGGCAGCAGGGCTCCTTTGCTGAATCACTAAGCTTCAGAGGTCTGGGCTGGCCGCGTGTCCCTCTGTCTTTCCAGGAGGAGAGATGGGTAAGTGCGGAGCAGAAGCCACCGGGAGGGGCAGGTGAAATCACCTTCTCAGGCTCCCAGGTGCCAGCACAGACCACCCTGGGCAGACTTTCTCAGGGGACTGAGGCCAGGAGCATGCTTTCCCACCATGGGCGGTACCATCGAACATGGGGTCCCAGCCTAGTGGACCCTGCCCCACAGTCCTCACAGCAAGCACACAGACCAGGCAGCTGCCTCAAAAGGGCTAGTTAGTCCTTCACCCTAAACCGCTGAGCAGGGCTGGGATAGCAGGTGAGTTCTGTCTGTCTCCAAGGCTCCTGGGACAATCTGCAGAGCTGCACGTGTGCTTGGGGCATGATGCAGGCTGAAGGAGCCAGACAGACCTGGTGTCAACTCACCCTCACACTGACCTTGGGGGCTAGGTCCTGCTATGCCCCCCCCCCCCCACTGACCCAGGTTCTCTGAGGCACAGAAGCCATTGGAGGGAAGGGCTTGAACTCACCATCCCTTAAGTGGCTTTTAAGACCTTGTGTCGGTTGTCCCACCTAACCCTCCAATAGGGTCGGATGCTCTGCTGGCCCAGGTTGGGAGCGAGCCAGGGCCTCATTCTGCCTGCTCCCTTGGGACAACTGTCTGCTGAGGTGAAGCCAAGCTGTACCCTGGAGGCCACACGGCTGGCCAGCTCCCTGCCCTGCACACAGGCCATCAAACGCTTGCGGGAGGAACAAGCTGGGGAGCAGGCAGCCTGGATTGGACTGGGGTCAGCAATAGGCAAAGACAGAGGCGCCACAGCAGGGATTGCAGAGTGCAGGGGCAAGGGGATTGGGGAGTGGGCTGGCCAATTTGAAGCACTGCAGGGGAAATGCCATCACTCTGGTGCCCTCTAGCTTGGCTGGGCAGAGGAGGGTTGGGAGGGAGACAGGTGGACCTCCCTCCCCTGCCCTGGAAACCTGCCCACTAGCCCAGCCTCCCTCCCAGGACATTCCGGCCTGTTGTCCCACCCAGGTCAGCCTCCTCCTGGGCTGGGCTGGGCTCGACTCGATAACCTATAGTCCTGGGGGGCTGCCTGCCACCCTGCCCAAAGTCACAAATTCATCTTCTTGGATTTGAATCCAACCCAAACCCTAGCTTCTCCCATTGCCACTCAGAGCCCAGTGCTGTTGAGGGGAGGGAGATGTCTGTCCTTGGGTCTTCCACCTTGAGTCCAGACTCCCTCAGGATGTCAAGGGGAGGCAGGGCTCCCCTGGGGACATACCCATGTTCATGCGGTACAATTTCACGGCTTCCGCGAGCTCGGGGATTTCTAGAAGCTCCACTTCTGCTTCTAATACGTCTATGTTGGAGAAGTTATCTGGGAGTAAAAGCTTCTGAGAGCGGAGACAATTCACTTGAAAGAGAAAAAAACACAAGTGAGTTGAAGAGGTGATTCCTAAACCGACTGTAGGGTCAGGCGTTTGTCAGGGTTTGGGGGCTGCAGCTTATCCTAAGTCTCCAAACAGACTGGGTTAGATCAGCTTTAGCCGGCTGAGTTTCCAGGCCAGAGACCACGGGTTACTCCTTTCCTGTGGCTGTGTCCGTGTGTCCGTAGGTGTGGCCTCTCCTGGGGCTGCCAAGCCAGGCCCTCCTGGCTCAGCAAGCACCCTGGCCCTGAAACTTACCCTGTGAGCCTGGACCACCCAAGAGCAGGAGGAGGAGTTGTCTTGCCGCTTGGGGCAGGGGCTGGGGGGAGGGCAGCCGGGGAAGCGGGGTGGCCACGCCTGGGCTGGCAGGTGGCACTGCCTGGACTGCAGTGCGGGGCAGACTTGGAGCCAATGGCAAACCTGGGTGAGTCGATTCGGAGACGCAGAAGCGCATCACGGGACAGCGTTCCAGGTGACTACGAACATGCACGGCTGGGGTGTCAGGCAGGGGGGCCCTAGGACAACTCGGGTTGGACTGCAGCAGGGCAGTAGCAGCAGCTTAGAAGTGGGGGTCAATTCATAGGGCTCTCTGTGGGGGCCAGTTAGAGCAGGAGGGAAGTTGTCTTCTGTCTGGGGTCCTCAGGTCAAGAGCCCACAGTGACAGGGGCTGAGGCCGAAGGGCCAAGTAGGTCCCCAAAGGCAGAGAAGAACCTGACTTTGGAGCTGAGCTTAGGACCCTTCCTTTGGCATTGGCTTCTGGGGTCCCTGACACGCCCTCAGGTCACTTCTCCCTGTATCCCTAGGCTGTCCCAAACTCCATAGAGGGGAGGCAGCCCTGATTTCTGGAAACCTCTGGCATGTCTCTACCACGTTTGCCCACGGAAGCCCCGGAAGCCCTGAGCGCTGAGTATCCAGCTTGTCTTCTGTGGGGCCTGGGCTGGGAATAGGGACGGGAAGGGGTGGCTGGGCCCTGCCTCCCACTACTTGCGCCAGCCAGCCCCCACTCCCCCCCAGGACATAGCAGTCACCGATGAAGCGGAAGTCGCCGCACTCGCACTCGATCAGGGCCACGGTCTCAGCCAGCCACAGCAGGTTGTCCTCGGTCACCAGGCTCGGGTACTTGGCCACCAGGTGGAGGGGCAGGAAGTAGTAGTGAACCTCCTCTTCTGTATCTAGAAGCGGCGTGTCCATGAGCCCCAAGGGCGCCTTATCGTGCAGGCCTGGAGGACACAGTATAGACGGCGTCACTCCTTCTGAGAGAGGCCAGGGGTGGGGGTCAGCGGGGCTCTCACCAGCACGGAGACCCTAGAGGGACTGAGACGCCAGCCCAGACATGGTTCTGGCCAGGCGTCTCCCCCTCTTCTCTTTAGATGTAGTAGAAGGTTTGCGGGGGGGTTGGGGGGGGCAATGACAATCTATTTTTCCTTCTACAGACTTCAAAGCATGGTGGGCCATTGTGTGGCATTTTGGCTCGTGGACCTAAGACGTGGAATTCATACTGGTGCCCCCTGTCACTTCTAATCTGTCAAACGAACCACCGTGACCTGCCTATGAAATTGATGTTTGTGTTTCTACCGGAAGCTCAAGCCCCATCCATGATCGGGAATGCCTGTACCGGTGTCCCAGGAAGGCTAGTCTATGCTGCAGGGCTCACCAGACAGGGATCATTTGTGGATATTCCTTGTGCAGTGCTGAGTGGTGACTTGAAAGGGTGGTGGTGGAATGCTGTGACTTCTTTCGGGGTGGGGTGGGGGTGGGTGATGGAGCGTGGCCCAGCCTTGCCCAAGCAAAGCCAGCATGCAGATCAAGGGCTGTGACAGCAGCTGCTTGGTGGGCACCCGACAGAGTACAAAGTCAAAGAGGATGGGAGAAAGGTACAGGGATCAGCCAGGCGTCACCCAGAAATCGGGATGGTACCCATTCTCTGAGGGCGAGGAGGAGGAAGCTGGCCTGGCCTTTAAGAAGCACCAGCTTGTCCCTGGCTGTACCTGTGAAGGCTGGGCTTTTAATAGGAAATTCTGAGGGTTTGCTGATACATTTCCACGTACGCCAGTAGTTCAAAGATGCTCTCTCAGCGACGGGGACGTCTGCAGGCCGCGCACGGAGGTGGTGTTTTCCTTCCTTCAGGTGGTCCAGGGTCTGTTGGAAATGGAAAGGGGGTTGCCTTGAACATGCCGAGCCCAGTTACTGTCTACCAGCGCGAGGGGGACACGCCAGGAAAAAGAGTATGTGACTCAAGTGCCCTGAAATAAATCGAACCCACAACAAAAGCAAAATCAGGAGAAAAGTTAGCTCTGTAAAGTGGCAGGCTGACCATACCCTTCTGATGGTTTTTATTGTGGTAACTAATAAACACATCCTAAAACTGGCCACTTCAACAGTGTACAAACGAGGGCCCTTAATCAAGCTCTTAAGGGGGTGCAATCATCGCTGCCATTTGTCTACCCAATCCTTCATCACCCCTGTGGGGGTGACATCATTTCACATCCACTAGATGAATGAAAGCGTGGGGGTGGAGTCCAGCCTGTCAGTCAGGTCACAGCTGATGGTGCCCCCTTGTGGGCGTGGCCTTCTCAGGAGGAGTGTCCTGGGAACCTCCCCTCTCTCTGTCTTCACCTTCCTGCTGAGGAGCCACTCTGAGACCTGGGCCAGCCCTGTGACGCAGCCACTGCCATCGGATCCACAAGACTTTGCACTTGGCCTGTGATCCTCCTGCATTCTGCATCATTGCACGTGCTGTGTTGAATCTGAAGAGGGATTTATGGACTAGTATCAGACTTATGGGTCTGATCTGGACTGGGCTGAGATGTTTGCTTGATAAACAATTACTTCTTGATATAAAGTTCATTCTTACACATGTATGAGTATCACTGAATTTGTTTCTCTAGTCAAACTGGCCCAACACAACCTCCAACATAAACTTGGCCCAGTAAGCAGTAACATCCTGTTCCCAGCCCATGGTAAAAATTCATCTGCTTTCTTGTCTCTACGGGTTTGTCTTGCCTATTCTAGACATGTGTATAATTGCGTCCCTCTGCTATGTGGGCTTTTATGCCTGGTTTATTTCACTTACCATAATGATTTTAAGGCACATCCATGTTGTAACACAGACCGGAACACCGTTCCTGTTTATGGAGGAATTAGGTTCGTTGTCTGGATGTGTATGTTATTTATTTATCCATCTGCTGATGGGCACTTTTTTCTAGACTTTTTACTGTGAATTGGGTGAAGGTTTACAAAGCAGATCCTCCTCCATTCAACAATTCAGCAGTCTTACGTTTAACAATTCACACACACAAAAAAATTCATACATGTTAATCTTCCACTTCTCCACTATCATTCCTTATCCCGCCTCCTCCCTGAATTTCTTGACGCCGCGCCTCCTTCTTTGTTACCCTCTGAACTTCATCGTTGGGCAAATGCAGCGTTAAGAAAAATCTCAAGTGGCCCATCACTCTAATACAGGGGTGAGTTCAGTTCCAGACCTGACGGATGACTAGGGGTTATAATCTTGGGGAGCCTACCTGTCTCTACACCTCCTGGTCTCTTATGATTTGGGGTGTCACCTCCATAGATAGAGGCCCTCAGACTTGAAGGAGCAGGTGTCCTGGGTGGGCGGAGGCTGCAGTGAAGCCCTTCCACTAAGCAGGCTGCAGGCTCCTGGCCGAAGGAGCTGGGCTTCCTCATGTAGACACAGCCTCCCTTCCAAAGCCTTGCTGACGGGCAAGGTACCACAACCTCGAACCTATCTCTTCTGTTGCCATTCTAGAAGAAAATTTTATTTTCTCTAGAAAGTTTTGGAGCTAGCAATCAAATAGTCATATAGTCAACTTTCTGCTCATGTGTCTTGTAATATAACACCTCCCATACCGCATGAACCTGATGAAAAAGCCCTCCTCCTAGCCACATGGACGATGTTGCCTATGGGAATCTAGGGCTCTGAGAAGAGCCCTCTGGTGGTCACAGCTATAAACTGCACCCACATAACTGCTCAAGGGCTGCAGAAGGAAGTGGACCACAGAATCGGGAATCTTTGATTTTTACTTGTGAATTGTGAATTGGGTGGAGGTTTACGGAGTAGATCAGTTTTCCATTCAGTAATTCACACACATTTCAGTTCATTGACTGCAATCCCACTGTAGGGAACGGGAAGACAGTGTGTGTCTGTGAATGAACTCTTTATTCTCATATTTTAAGAAGCCTGCAGGCTGGGTTTCTGGAGTAGAGGGAGGCTTGTGAGTTGGCGGTGAGTCTCACTCACATTCTCATAACTAATATTGTTCCCCACTGTATCCTCCCATAATAGTGCTGCCTTAAAGTTACCTCTCACAAGCACATGGCTGATTGCTCTCTGGCCAGCAGCTTTGCTATAGAGGCAGATCTGTGCTATTGCTCTCTAGACTCTGAAGGCAGCCACTCCCCCTTACCTGTGCCTTAGCACTGATGTTAGGGTACTCCTCCAATGAAGTCAGGGACCTTAGGGTTAAGATACATCCCACTTTATTATGTTTGTGGCTACCTGGAATTAGGGGGCTTGCATGCCCCAAGAGTATGTAAGCTGTTGTTGGAAATATTTCTCTCTCTGTGCACGGACCTAACTCTGAAGTGATGGTGGCGGAGGTGAGCCCTTGCATGCATTGTCTTATCTGATGTCTCTTTAATTTACCCTTCAATTATACAACCACCCACTTGCACCCCACACCCCACGAGGTGACATCACTTATCCCCCTCTTTCCTTGTTTCCAGTCTTCAGTCCCCCATCTTTCCTAACCCTTCTGAAAAACATCCTTTGGATCTTGTGACTGGTTATTCTAAGCCAGGCGTCCTCAAACTATGGCCCTCGGGCCACATGCGGCCTTTCCAAGGACATTTATGTGGCCCGCCGGGTGTTTTTGCCCCATTTGTTTTTTTACTTCAAAATAAGATATGTGCAGTGTGCATAGGAATTTGTTCATAGTTTTT